GAATTACAGGCGTGAGCCACTGTATCTGGCCCCCAAGGACAGCTTTTCAGTTTCCCTCAGTTCCCCATCTTCATATTTTATTTCCCCTTGGTTAATCAGATATTTATTAGGTATCTACCATGCCCAAGCACTGTGCTAAGAAAGCTCGTGGAAACAACCTAAGTGTCCATTGATGGATAAAAATGAGTTTTTATCCATTCAATTTCCAATCTAATTTCTAACTTTTTTCTAAAAAATTCAATTTCTAAATATAGAAATTGTGGTGTGTATATATATATATACACACACACACACGTATGTGTGTGCATATGTGTATATGAGTATATATGTATATGTGTATATGTGTATATTATGTTTATATATGTGTGTATATTATGTGTATATATGTGTATGCATGTATATATATAATAAAATATTATTTAGCCTTAGAAGGAAATCCTGCCATTTGTAATAACATAAATGATCCTGGAGAATATTTTGCTAAGTGAAATAAGCCAAACACAGAAAGAAAAATGCTATATGATCTCACTTATATGTGGAATCTAAAAAAACTGAATTCATCAAAGCAGAGAGTAGATGGTGGTTACCAGGGGTAGGGTGGGGAACACATGGGGAGATGTTGGTCAAAGGGTTCAAAGCTTCAGTTATATAGGATGGATAAGTTCTAGAGATATAATGTACAACATGGGGACTATAGTTAACAATACCTTATTGTTTACTTGAAATTTGCTAACAGCGTAGATCTCACTGCACACACACGCACACACACACAAAGTTAACTATGTGAAGAGATGGATATGTTAGCTTGACTGTAGTCTATGTGTGTATATATGTGTGGGGATATACCTATATCTATATCTATATCTATATCCAGTCATGATGTACACCTTAAATAATATACAATTTCGATTAAAATGTAAAATAAAAACAAAAAATCTGTGGTTGAGAACATTAAAGCTCCCAAACCTGGCTACCTTTAAGAATCATCTGGGGACCTTTTAAAAATACAGATCCCTGCTGGGCGCAGTGGCTCACACCTGTAATCACAGCACTTTGGGAAGCCGAGGTGGGCAGATCACCTCAGGTCAGGAGTTTGAGACCAGCCTGGCTAACATGGTAAAACCCCGTCTCTACTAAAAATACCAAAATTAGACAGAGCGAGACTCTGCTTCAAAGAAAAAAAAACCATATATGTATATATGTATGTATATATATGTATGTATATATGTGTGTATATATGTATGTATATACGTGTGTGTGTGTGTGTGTGTATATGTAGAGAGAGAGAGAGAGAGAGAGAGAGAGAACGATAGATGGATCCCAGGCTGGGCATGGTGGCTCACGCCTGTAATCCCAGCACCTTAGAGGCGGAGGCAGGCGGATTGCTTGAGCTCGGGAGTTCAAAACCTGCCTGAGCAACATGGCAAAGCCCCATCTCTACAAAAATAAAAAATAAAAAATAAATTAGCCAGGCGTGGTGGTACTCACCTGTAGTCCCAGCTACTCTGAAGGCTGGGAGGGAGGACCTCTTGAGGCAGGGAGGCCGAGGCTGCGGTGAGCCGAGATCATGCCACTGCACCCCAGACTGGGCTGCAGAGCCAAACCCTGTCAAAAAAAAAAAAAAAAAAAAAAAAAAGCTGGCCTTTGTGGCTCATGCCTGTAATCCCAGCACTATGGGAAGCCCAAGGCAGGCAGATTACTTGAGCCAGGAGTTTGAGACCAGCCTGGGCAAAATGGCGAGACCCTGTCTCTACAAAAATTAGCTGGGCGTGGTAGCACACGCTTGTAGTCCCAGCTACTCAGAAGGCTGAGGTGGGAGGACCCCCTGGAGCCCAGGAGGTCGAGACTGCAGTGAGCTGAGATTGCACCACTGCACTCCAGCTCTGGGCGACAGAGCAAGATACTGTTTCAGTAATTATAATAATAATAAGGCGGGGCTTGGTGGCTCCTGTAATCCCAGAACTTCGGGAGGCCAAGGCGGGTGGATCTGAAGCTCAGGAGTTCAAGACCAGCCTGGGCAACATGGAGCAACCCCGTCTCTGCTAAAAATACATAAATGAGTCCTACGTGGTGGTGTGTGCCTGTAATCCCAGCTACTCGGGACGCTGAAGCACAAGAATCGCTCGAACCCGGGAGGCAGAGGTTGCAGTGAGCCGAGATTGTGCCACTGCACTCCAACCTTGGTGACCAAGCGAGATTCTGTCTTTTTAAAAAAAAAAAAAAAAAAAAAAAAAAGTGAACTTACCAGGTGATTCTAATTCTAATGTAGCCATCCTGGTGCAGATCCAAGGCCTGAAGTTTGGGTGGGGCTTAAGTGACACTGACTCAGGGTCAAGTCCCATCTCTGCCCCTTGCCAGCTGTGTAACCTTAGAAAACAATTCCATGTCTCTGAGAGCCATGAAAACAACGTTGCCTCACAGGCCTGTGATGATGAGTCAGTAGAAAACGGCTGTAAAGCTTTTAGCACAGGGCTTGGCATATAGTAAAGGCTCATTCATCTAATATTGTTATTAATATTATAAGGAGGTTGGTCTAGAACTCTTCTCCCAGGCTGGAGTGCAGTGGAGCAATAACGGCTCACTGCAGCCTCGACCTACCCGGGCTCAGGTGATCCTCCCTGCGTAGCTGGGACTACAGATGCATGCCAGCATGCCCAGGGAATTTTCATACTTTTTGTAGAGATAGTGTTTTGCCGTGTGGCCCAGGCTGGTCTTGAAATCCTGGCCTCAAGGGATCTGCCCACCCCGGCCTCTCAAAGTGCTGGGATTACAGGCATGGGCCACTGCACCCGGCCTTAGAACACGGACGCTTAAAAATTCAGGGGAGGCTGGGTGTGGTGGCTCACACCTGTAATCCCAGCACTTTGGGAGGCCGAGACAGGTGGATCACGAGGTCAGGAGATCGAGACCATCCTGGCTAACACGGTGAAACCCCGTCTCTACTAAAAATACAAAAAAATTAGCCAGTCGTGGTGGCGGGCACCTGTAGTCCCAACTACTTGGGAGGCTGAGGCAGGAGAATGGCATGAACCTGGGAGGCGGAGCTTGCAGTAAGCTGAGATCATGCCACTGCACTCCAGCCTGGGCGACACAGCGAGACTTGGTCTCAAAAAAAAAAAAAAAAAAATTCAGGGGATAGGCTGGGCACCGTGGCTCACACCTGTAATCCCAGCACTTTAGGAGGCCGAGGCTGTTGGATCATCTAGGTCAGGGGTTCAAAACCAGCCTGGCCAATGTGGCAAAACCCCGTCTCTACTAAAAATACAAAATTAGCCTGGTGTGGTGGTGGCGTATGCCTGTAATCCAAGCTACTTGGGAGGCTGAGGCAGGAGAATTGCTTGAACCTGGGAGGCGGAGGTTGCAGTGAGTCAAAATCGCACCATTGCCTGGCCTAGGCAACAAAAGCAAGACTCCTTCTAAAATAAATAAATAAATAAATATTCAGGGGATAAATTAACTCAGATGGGAAAATATTACATCTTTGTTTTCACCAATCTCTAACTGAAATTTAGATTTCCTTCAACTACAAATGCAGAGAACAGATCACGATAGTGTTAGCAGTACCTGTGACTTTGTCCCCAATAGAAATCACAATTTTATGTCACATTACTGTTACTACAGGTATCTTTAAATATGTTTACAATTATCATTACTTTCAAGTTGCCATGGTTATGAGAGTTGCTTCTATATCTTGTTATTTATTACATTAATAACAAGCACTTCTATAACCATACCAGCTTCCATGTCTTACATTTTATTCTCCAGTAACACTGAACTGTTTTGTAATCCACACCCAGATATCAGCATACACACTGTTCTCAGCCCCAAGCCTCTGTTCACTAGTCTCTCTACCTAGATTGTCCTTCTCTTCTGCCAGAGCTAACCCTTCCTCCACACCCTCACAAGACATGCCACCCCCCATTCTCCTCACACACACCAGGCCTCCATCACCACTTAGTATTTGTACTGTTTTTGTCTGTCTACATCTCTTTCTCCAGCCTGACCATGAAGTTTTTGGGAGCTTGGGCTGTTTTGTTTACCTGTGAATCCCCACTTACACCATAACCAGCACAGGATAAGCGCACAGTGACTGTTGAATGAGTTCACCTGAGAAAGAGATGCCCCTTATACCCTCTTTCTGCTCCACCCAGAAAGCTACCAGCTCTATCTGGAAGTGGCCCCCCACCCCCTGCTTTCTGAGTTTATGCAAGAACGTTTTGCTGCTTGGAGTCTCTCCATCCAGCACAATATATGTCAGCAAAGCAAGGCTTCACAGAAGGGAGCCAAGGTGGCCCTGCCCAGTCAGCCTTCCCCCGAGGAGGTATGCAATATGTCAGTACAAGCTGGACTTGTATGCAAATACATACCAGCTCCTGAACGCTATCTCTGAACTATCTAGTTTTTTTATATCTCAATTATATTTACTCTTGATCAGCCTGGATATAGTATGGAAAGCTATACTGAATTATTAACAATACTGCTTGAGAGCAAGGACCACAACAAGGGAAATGTCAAGGGGACAGACTCTTGAGTTTAATGGTGCCAAATGCCAAGAAGGAAATACTTCTACCAGGGCCTCATCCCAAGGTTAGGCACAAAGATAAGAGGACTCAGGCAAATATAGAAATAAAAGTCCCAGCAGTTCACGAAACACAACTTAAATAAACATTTATGGATCTAATATATTTTGTTATAACGTTTAACATGAAATATTTATAAACAAGGGGAAAAACATAAACACTGTAATTAAAAAACAATTTAGTAGGCTATAAGTATACACAATGCAGATGAAATTTCATATTCTACTACCTCCTCTGGCTTTTACCCAAGAACATAAAAAAAAAAAGCGAAGAAGAAGAAAAAGGGAAATTAATACATCTAAAGGGTTTGCTTTTGAGAGGAGAAATAGAGACTCCTCAGCAGTCTGTTAGAACAAAAGGACCATACTCTCAGTTTTGCAGGTATGGTCAGTGACCCCCAGCACCTCTTTCACCTCTGACCTTGGGATCCTGTCAAGAGCTAGAGGTACAGCTTTTTTCTGACTTTCTGGCTGCTACAGCATAGAGACCACAACCCCACCTCCATTTTCCCCAAATTGCAGGGCACATATAGGACCCACGGGGCCTTGGGAATAAGAATTATAGTAGTTGGTCGCTCTTTGCTCTTAATCACAGGGCTGATGTTTGTGGTACCTGGAGGAAGTTTCAAATCTATGGAAGTCCAATCTCCATAGATTTGGAGGGACTCAGGCCAAGTGAAGCTCCACTAGAAAAAAGGACGGCTCTGGCCCTGATTGGTGTTCCTGCCTATTAGCTGGAGCTCTCTTAGTGTAGGAGCGTGTTCCTGCCTATTAGCTTGGCCACGGAGCTCTCATTGTAGGAGCTCCGCCTCCTACGCTTCTTCCCTGCTGCTCTTAGAACCAACGCACTGTGGGTTCCACCAGGAGGCGCCTCTGGTGCCTCTCCGAGCTTCTGTGACGCAGGCAGAGAACGTTCAATGTCTTGGGCACTAGATGGCAGTATATACTGCCCTATTTCAAAGGCCGGACTTGTGAATGAAGGAGCCGATGGGGGGTGGGGAGTACTGACTGAAACGTAAGTCAGTTTTACGTGAAAACTGAACATCATGAAAAGTTTAATTTTTTCAGGCACTAATAATTATTTAATCCTATACATTTAAAGTATTCCAAGTCTCTGAGTCCTGAAACACCCTGGAAACCCACTTGCCCAGCCCGAACATCCCTCCATCTTACAGAGCTGGGGTACGCCCCTCAGGCCTGTGAACATGCAATCGCTACATCTATTGAAAGGGTAACGACAGACGGAGATCAACTAAGGTGGCAGGTGAGGTTCAGAAAGGGAGAAGGAGAGCAAATTTGGAGAAATAGGAGAAGGTAAGTGAAGTGAGGAAAAAGAGGGGTGCTGAAGTAAGAAATGAGGGGAAAATAAGGGAAATGGCGGGGGGGGGAAGAGAAAAAGAGGAAAGGGGAGAAAGGGGAAATGGGGAAATAGAGAAAAGGAGAAAAGAAACAAGGAAAGAAAAGTAAAGGAATGGAAATGAGGGAGAAAGTAGAGGAAATGGGTAAAGAAAAAAAAAAGAAAAGAGAAAAAAGAAGGGAAATAGTGAAATGAGCGGGAGCAGAAGAGCAGAGAGAAGGAAGGGGAGGATTGAGGAGAGACGGCGAAGGGGCAGAGGGAAGCCGGGAAAGGGACTGCCTCTGAGGGGTTCAGGGAAGAGAGGACACAGCGAGCCGGGGAAAGGAGGTGACGATATCGTTAAGTAAGCAGAAAGAGACAGAAACTGAGGAGAGTTTGAGCGTGCTTCTGTGAGTTTTGTTTACAGCATTTATTGGGTACTCCTGATGTGTGCCTGGCACTCTCTCTCTACTGAGGCAACCGCTCTCCTTACACGCCGCCCGCCCTCAAAAAAGCGGGGGGGGAGACGGATGGAGGGCGGCGGTTTAAGGCTACAACACTTGGGGCTCTCGAGGGCGTCGTCTCTTCTGTAGGGGGACCCATTCGAGGTGAGACTAGAGACATTTGCCCTCACACTGAGCTCGAACCCCGCGAGACCAGGCCACTAGGGGGGCACGGCAGCCCGGGTGGGCTGCGTGCGTATTTCTGGCGGAGGATGCGCCATGAGCGCTGAAAGAGCCTGAACCGAAGCGTCCGGCTCGCCGAGAGAGTGAGAGCCCGGCCGGCTCCCAGGAGCGCGGGCGAGGGTGCAAGCGGCAGCGTGGGTGCCAGGGCACGAGGGTGCGGCGGGGCGGGGCGAGGGGTGGAGAGGCAGGATCCAGCCCGCTCGGGGCCCCCGCCAGCCCGCCGGAGAAGCGGCGGAGGAGCGTCCTCCGCCGGCCCCTCTAGGGTAATTTACATGCTGTCATATCCCAGTGCTGACTCTCGGGTGTGCAGATCGCTCACTAGCTCACTCGCTCTCAGCTCCTGCCACCGCTCAGCCGTCACAGCCCAGGGGAGCCCGAGAACCGGAGAGCCTGCAAACCGAGGAGGGAGGGAGCAAAGGAGGGAGGGAGCAAGGGCGCGCCCCGGCTCCCCCTCTGCCCTGCTGCCCGCCCTTCCTGCCTCCACAGGTCCGCCCCAATCCCCGCTCACACTTGGGAAACTTGGGACTGCGCTGGGGCCGCGTGTGGCACCTCAGGGGGACGGCCCCGGCCTCAAGAAGAGGGGGAGGAGAAGGAGGAAGAGGAGGAAGTGAGCCCGAAGGATCCGCTCAGAGCTGTTTGTCCAGCTGTTTCTATTCGCACCCGGAGCAGTACAGCCAGAAGGGGGCCGAGCCGAGGGTGGCTGGCTTTAGGCGCTAATTTCCAACTCTTTTCCTCACAGCTTGTCTTTTCTAGGCACCCTGGAGTCCCCTCAGGCCAGCCCGGCGGGTGCGCACCTGCCAGCCGCCCCTGACCTCGCAGGCCAGGCGACCTCCGAGCCTGAGAAGATGGCCCAGTCCAAGCTCGACTGCCGCTCACCTGTCGGCCTCGACTGCTGCAACTGCTGCCTGGACCTGGCCCACCGGAGCGGACTCCAGCGAGGCAACAGCGGGGAGAACAACAACCCGGGCAGCCCTACAGTGAGCAACTTTCGGCAGCTGCAGGAAAAGCTGGTCTTTGAGAACCTCAATACCGACAAGCTCAACAGCATAATGCGGCAGGATTCGCTAGAGCCGGTGCTGCGCGACCCCTGCTACCTGATCAACGAGGGCATCTGCAACCGCAACATCGACCAGACCATGCTCTCCATCCTGCTCTTCTTCCACAGGTGGGTGGCTCGGCACACGGCGGGAACTCAGTCCTTGCTCGCACCAGCCTCTGCTGCACCCTCACCTCTGACAAAAGGGGCAACTAGGAAGTTCACGAGGGTTACTGGGGAGGTCTGACTCACAGGCTGCAGTGACTGGACCTTGAGGTTGCCTGGAGTACCGCGGAGCTGAGGGGAGGCCTGGCAGGTGCAAGCCCTATTCTGAAAGGTGCCTGCAAAGGCTTTCTGATGGGGACACTGGGCCCTAGAAGGTGGGCAGACACCAGATGGTTTGGAGGTAGCTGAAAGTACCCCCTCCTCAAATGGACACACTTCCATAGCCCCTTTGGAGATTCTGCCATGGGGTCTCCTTGAGTTTCAAGTTCTACCCTTCTCCAAAGCCCATTTCTAAATGTGCAAACGCAGATTGAAACTGCAAGGGCTTTAAAATTACTGAGTGGCCCTGACTGACAGTGAGGGCAAGCAAAATGTCAAGACAAATTAAACTGCTGGTGGTGGGAGAGGGGGAGGGGAAAATTTTTAAAAATCAGAGACTTGTGAGAATTTCTTGAGCCTCTGGATGGGAGGGATTCGCCTCCTTCATGGATCACAGCCTTCAATTTCAAATGTAAGCTAAGCGCAACCCCAGAGAGCACCCTAGGACACCTTGAGTGCCTCAAGAACTATGTGTGGCAGGAGGGCGGATGAATCCATGTCGTTGCAAGCATGTGTTGGAGTACGGGTCAAGCTTTCTAGAAATCCTGCTGGGGAGGCAAGGGGAGGACAAGGGAGGGAAAAACACAATGGGAAGACCCAAGGCGGCTGCTGTCCTTCAGTTTCAGACACCCTGGCAAGAACCAGTCTCTGGGAACAACTGAGGCAATTTAGAGGCAGGGCAGACAACATCAGGAAACCCAGCCATGGATTTAGTGTCCTTAGCGCCATCAGGATAGGGCACCAGCATGTGTGTGAGAGTGTATAAGGGAGGATTTATTCTTGCTCAACAACACAGGTTATGTAAAAGAAAGACATCGCCGCTATGGGAGACCTGGGTTGTGGCACAAGTTATGACTTCACCTGTTTGTATGAGCCTGAGCAGGTCGCCTGACCGCTCTAGTCTCTCTAAGGTTCCTTTTAGCTCTGAGATTCTAGGTTGTAGGCAGGTGATGTGCCCAAAGTGATAAGAAATTCTGAGCACCTACAAAATATTTGGAATGTAAGCAGGCTCAAATAGGAAATTTTAAAAGCAATCGAGAAAGGCAGGCGCTATCCTCACTTAATGCTAAGAGCAGGTTTGCCTCCCTTGCCCCAAGACAAATCCACCATCGCCTCCCCCCCAGCCCAGCCCCAGTGGTTCTGGGCAAGACAAGCAGGGCTGCTAACCTCGTTAGTGTTATTATAACAAGTCGTATTCCTCGGGAATTTTCGACACCATTGAAGCCCTTTCTCATCTATTATTTCACTTTAGGCATCAAATTATCTCATTGTCTAAAATAAACCAGGCTGATTTTTTAAAAAATAATAAAATAAAATAAACCAGGCTGCGGACAGAAAGGTTTTGAGGGAATCTTCATTTCTGGTGAAAGATTACTACAAGTGTATTCAGCCCACAGATGCTGAAATCCTGCGGAGCGAAAGCCCTAACAGGCTCCTAAGGATCCCGCCTGTCTCTGTTGGAGAGTGGCAGCAGGGGAGGGATAGTAGAAAAACCTGGAAAGAGCACTTGTAGCATTTGCATTTGTTCAACTGGGAGAGAAAGTGCCACTCCAGGCTTTAGGAAAGTGTGAGAGGAGACGCTTCCTCTGGTTCTGGGCCTAGGAGGATCAAACCTGGGTGAGGGAAGTGTGAAGCTAAAAGCCTGAGATCAAAGTGTTTACTTGTGCCACACGTCGGGAGCATCCTGGTTGTTTGGGTTTCTGGAAAGGGAATACCTCCTTTGTCATCTACTCCACTAATACGAGTTTAGTGACCCTTGGTTTCTGGCAAAGCCTGGAAATGCTACAGGGTGGAGATGTAGGCAGGTGGCGTTATAGGTATTGGTTGAGGGAGAAGCACAAATTGTAGGAAAGATGTGTGTGAGCACCCTGTCTCCTTCGATCAGAGCAACTCACTCAGCGTTCAAAACCACTGAGGAGCTAACCAGCAAGCTCTCAGGCTTTGCTAAGGCTGGGGAGTAACAGGGTCCTGTGGTAACAGTCTTATAGTTCTAAGAGGACAAAGCAATCTCTTGCCCTTTTTTTTTTTTTTTTTTTCCTGAGATAGGATCTCACTCTGTCACCCAGGCTGGAGTGCAGTTGCGTGATCACAGTTTACCGCAGCCTCAAACTCCTGGGCTCCATCAATCCTCCCACTTCAGCCTCCCAGGTAGCTGGGACTACAGGCATATACCACCATACCCAGCTAATTTTTTTGTTTTTTGTTTTTTGTTTTTTTTTTTTTTACAGAGACGGGATCTTGCCATGTTGCGCAGGCTTGTCTCGAACTCCTGGGCTCAAGCGATCCGCCCACCTCAGCCTCTCAAAGTGCCGGGATCACAGGCGTGAGCCACTGATCCCCTCTTGTTTTCCTTGACAACTGGGACCTTAGAGACTGGGGATTCTGAATTCGGTTTAGGTTTTGCCCAGTATGACATGCTCCATTAGCAAACTAGAAGACCATTATTGCTAGTCATGGGGCTTCTCCAATATGTGGGGTGGACAGCCTTCTCCTAAGTGGACATTTCCCTTGTTATTTCATTAAATTTCCTGGGTTTCTATCATCATACTTCAGTCATCGTTTTTACTTCTATTCAATTTAATGATTTGACATTTCAGGTTCCTGTTGGGTGCTTTTTTCCTTTGTCAACTTTCAAGGCCTCTCCTGCTGGAGAAGCTAGTCTCCCCACCCCTCCTCCTGCAGTCCATTCCTCTGCCGAGAGGCCTCCTATATTCTTAGGAAGAAGGGGGCAGGGCACATTCTTGATTTACATCTGGTTTGTCTGCTTTGACCTGTCCCTGGCTCCCAGCTTCGTTCTTGGTTTCCTTGGAATACAAGAGTATAAGCAATTTGAGGGCAGGCCTGTATTTTACTTGCTTGGTTTTCCCTTGGCTTTTAGTTATACAGCCAATATTCAATAAAGGTTTCTTTAGTTGGATGACTACTTAAATATTGACGTGGTCCCTTGTAAAGATTTTACAACTTTATACTGTGCTAGAAAATTCTTATTAATGTTTAAAAGTTGTTTTCCTTCCTTTTAACCGCATGCAGTAACTCTCCTAGCCTGATGGAAGTCCTGATAGTATTGTGTATATACATATGAATCAGTGAGAATGGGCATGCAGCCTATCGTTATGTAAATGGACCTGTACACCATTGGGTTGGGGAAGAAGTGTATTTTAAACACTATCCCTTTAATCTTGTATTGTGTAACTAATAACCATAATAGATTAATAACTAACACTTCTTGAACATTCACAATGTATCTGCATAATCTTATTTACATCAACTCTATGGAACGGGTACATTTATTTATTTATTTATTTATTTATTTATTTATTTATTTTGAGACGGAGTCTTGCTCTGTTGCCCGGGCTGGAGTGCAGTGGCATGATCTCAGCTCACTGCAATCTCCACCTCCTGGGTTCAAGCAATTCTCCTGTCTCAGCCTCCTCAGTAGCTGGGACTACAGGCACATGCCACCACACTCGGCTAACTTTTGTATCTTTAGTAGAGATGGAGTTTCAACATATTAGTCAGGCTGGTCTCAAACTCCTGATCTCAAATGATCCACCAGCCTTGGCCTCCCAAAGTGCTGGGATTACAGGCGTGAGCCACTGCACCGGACCAAATGGGTACTATTGTCATGCATTTTCATTTTATAAAGAAGGAAATTGAGGCTTGGAAAAAATTAAGTATCTTGCCCAATGCATCACAATGAAGAGCAGAGCATGAATTGTCTATGAAGAAAGAATTGTTAAGAACACTCAGTAACTAAACTAATGCTAAAGAAATTATTGGAACACTTCAGAATTGTCTATGAAGCAGAGGTAAATGTGAGCTCAGAACCTTTCAAAATGGTCAAAATGTCCTTATTAGGTAGGGAAACCAACCATCCCAGTCCTGGGATACAGACTGCCTATGCTCAAACTGGAACAGTCCTAGGGAAACTGGGATGGTTGGTCACCCTATTGTTAGGGGACTCCCCCTTGTCATTTGAATATGTTTCTAATACTGGAAAACTTAGGAGGGAGATAGAATATTCTGGGCAAACAGCAGAAGTTTCCAATTTAAACGTAGCATATGAAAAATCTTCCCAAGTTGACATTTGAAGAGCCTTCCTTAATTTTTCTGACCTGTAAGGTATAACAATCTGGAACGGGAGCTTTGGCAGTATTTGTTGTGATTGTTGTTGCTGTAACCTCAAATTTTTTTCTAAGATTTTACCCAAAACCTCTTAATCAGCTCTATTCTACCTTTGACCCCAGAGCATACCTGGCAAGTGTGATCTGAAATACTCTGAATCCGATTTCCCTTCCGGCTCTAAAAACCCTAGGATTCTACCTTTAAGCTTCTGATCTGGCCCCAGCTGGTTCCCAAACATAAATGCTCAGAAAATGATAAAAATAGCAAACATTTCTAATTGCTTTATGTGTGCTAATTCATGTAATACTCCTATTAATATAGTAACAAAGGGGAAGGATAAAGATTCGGAAATCAGGTTTTCAAGAAAAAATTGTGCAAAAATTATTTGTGCTTCTCTAAGTGAGTCTCAGAACAAGTAATTTCATAATGTATATTCCTGGACCTGGCTTCTGAGGTGGTGGCCACTCACACGGCATGATTTGATTGGCTGCCTGCTGCAGTAAAATGCCTAAGTTCATACTATTTAAGATTCAGTTCTCTGTCCATGTACCATCTAAAATTCCTCTGCCAGAGCACCGCTGGTATGTAGACCACACTGTGAGAAACCCTGTATTAGAGATTGCAACCCATTGTCAACTAATTTACCATTTGATTTTGAGGATGGAGTTACTTGCTGTAGA